GATGTCAGTTCATTGTCTTTTTTTATTGGTTTCTAAGATGGTTGTATTTTTCTTTTACTTATCCGCCATTATAGGGCTACCATCTTAGGAACCGGTTAATTTATCGCTTGATGCCAGTGGGTTGGTGGAGTTCCAAAGTATGGCGCATCTTGCACGTTATCACATGTCAAATTTCAAAAACCTCGAAGTTGTGATCGGAGGAAAACTCCAGTAAGAATATTTAACCCAAAGCACTGGTATAGAATAAAATTTGGAAGAAATTAATCCTTAAACATGATATTAGTTAGCATAAAAATCCAGAACAGTTACATTCTTAAATAAAAAGAATTCAGTTACCTCTCCTTTGAATCGATTGGAGCATCAATTAATCTAACGCTGATATCATTAGTTAAAAAAGTAAAAGTAAAAAAAATGAACTTGAACCTTTGAAGAATGATTCTTATGTAAAATCGTGCACTGAATTCAACAATGTAGTTAAAAAAAATGTCAGTAGGATAGTGTTTGAGATACAGCTAAAAATGAAAATTCACTTTAAACAAATTTGATTACTATAATACAAATATCTCCGGTTGTAATGAGATTATATCAATTATTTTAACGCTAAATTAGAGGTAAGAAATTTTTTCGTTCGATCAATTGAACATCAATTGTCAGTGAGATTGATGGTATTGTTGTTAGTTAATAGTTTGTTTTTTAAGTCTTTCTAAGAAAAATTGAAGTTTTTAAGCAATGTTAATTAAAATGTTTATGGTGGTTCTACCATTACTCTCACGGAAAAATAGTGTTATAACGATCGAAATAAAATGTTATCACGTTTAATTTGGCGTTAAAATAATTAATATCACTTCATTGCAGCCAGATATATTTGTGCTTTAGTTTTTTTAACGTGAGATTTCATTTTTTAGCTAGGGGAAGGAGGGGCATAGTGAACAGGCGGGGCATAATGAGCATCCCGTACTTTGGCTCTGGATCTCCAACTGCATGAAACAAATCAACTGGTAGTAGGATCAATATCATTAAGATATTGATCCTACAGCCAACAAATTTGTTCTGAACGGCCGGAAGTCCAAGCTGGAGCACGCGCGATGCTCACTATGCCCCACCTGTTCACTATGCCTCTCTTACCCCTATATCTCCAAAACTATCCTACCGAGATTTTTTTTTGACTATATTTTTGGATTCAGCGCACGATTTTACATGGGAAATGACCATCATCGTACAAAGTTCAAATATGCTGTAAACTAGTGTATTTATACGAATATAGCTGTTTTGGACTCTTAGCCAAGCAACTACAAAAAAAATACTTTATTCAAGATAGCAACACGTTTTTTTTTTCATTGATTTGGATCGATTTACATTCATGTACGGATTTTGATTCATGACTGTACGGATTTTGATTCATCCTCAACACAGTGTACGGATTTCGATTCAAAACTGTACGGATTTTGATTCAATCGTAAAACGCTGTACGGATTTTGATTCAAGATATGTGCAATTTAAATCCTTTTTTCTAATAATTGAAGGTAATTTTAAGACCTGGTGTTTGCAAATATTGGAAAAATAAAGATAAATGTAAAGGAAAAAGATGTGATACAGAGCATAATGTGATAGCATTATTTAGTATTGACCGTTAATGATTCTCTCGTGCTTAGGTGTACGGATTTCGGTCCCGCACGGTATATGATGTTAAATCAACTCGTTTAAAATTAAATTAAAATATGCCGTATATGGCCTCCACTTTTGTACGTATAAGCCATTTCTTTGCATTACCCTAATAAACGGGTACCATACTCTAACGATATCATAGATGGTACGACTATCCCACATAAAGTTGGGATGATATCCCGAATTGGTGGTTAGGCGCTTCTTATGGTTATTGTTTATGCGGGTATATACGAATTGTTTGTTTGTATATATGTTTGTATATCACGAAAACAACTTTGAATATACGTGCATTCTGGTTGTCTGGGCATTCCATCGTCCTTCATATAATGTTGGAGAACCGTCTTGGCAAAGTCTCAAAAAGTTCAACCAATTATTTTTACTCTCCTGACATTTTGCACTTCCAACTAACAGCTTCATAAAACACGGGAGTTTTGTGTATTTGTGATCGATCGCGCTGTGGTTGCACTTCATGATGGCGTTCACCGCCAGGGCTACGCTCGGGAACTCGACCAATCCGGAGGAGGAACTTTCCGATTTCAGCGGGATCATTCGCATTTGCGACGGGTGGCAGTCCTTGGTGGTGAATGCAGTCAGCAGCAGATCCTCGGACGGCATACGGGTGGGGTATTGAAGAAGTGGAGAATGCGATTTTTGCTGGCCTGGGAAGCGATTGTTCTTGAAGGCGCTGTAGACCTTGAAGCTGATCGAATTGTCCGGCAGGGTGTACGGGTTGGTGGACTATGACAAGTAGTTCTGCTTGGAAAATTGGTTGGTCCGTTTCGGGTCAGCGGTGCGTCCTTCATTAGTCCGACGTGTGTTCCGGCCGGTGTTGGTTTCCAGTTTTACAGATGATACTCGGGCGGTGAAAAATTAGGTGCAAATCCGTTTCCTCCGCCGGCTCCCAGAAGGGTTGGTTTACTAATGATTGACGTTCGTTGTGCGGGGTCGGCCTTCCGCCGAAGATGGAAGGATCGTGTAGCAACGGAGCTCGTCCGTTGCAGGCATCCTTTCCTTGGAGACGGATGCATCCAGTGTGTAGTCCCAGCTGGAGTCCGTGTCGTTTTTGAAAACATTGAAAAACAAAACAAAAACAAGAGCTGTTACAATACCGGGTTGCGAAACAAGGCATTATTCACAAGTAATCAAAAGTCAGTTCAATTACTTCTTTGCACTGCCGGTACAGCTGCGGCACACTGAGGTACACTGAGAAAAAAGTTGGCGTAAAACAAGTGTGTAGAGTGACCACCCCTTGACTTTTTCCGAAGTATTTTACGGGGAAGTGCTAGAATTCTTAATAATATGAAGAGCATTGCAGTGTTAATTCAGGGAGTGTTCTACCTAAGCTTTTCAAGAGTATTATGGAGAAAATTATAAGAGAACTAATTTTTTCCATAAAAAAATTCGAGATCCTGGACACAGAAAAAAATCAAGGTTCCTGGTTTGGGAAAAAAGATGACAATTTTGAGGTTGTTTTTTTTTTAAATTTTGTGCACGCATTTTGAGCCATCTTTTTTTCTCAGTGTGCCTCAACTGTGCCGATAGTGCCATGCTCGGTGCCATGGCTTCGTGATGACTTTGTTTTTGAATAATGGAATGTTTGGCAACCCGGTATTTTGACAGCTCTATTGTTTTAATTATTTCAAATTTTGTTTTAATTCAAATTCACAGGCAGAACCGAAAACAGGTTTTCAAGTTTTTACTTAATATTCCTCCTCAAATTGTAGTGTGAAGCGCGCAACGCGTTCGGTTTCGACGGATCCATTCCAGTGTCAAATATAAGGGCCTGCTCACTGAACGACGTTTGAACCGTTTCATTTTTTTTTTTAATCGGTTGGATCAATTCCGCTGAAATCGACAATAACCGTTCAATAGCTCTGCTAATAATGTTACGCGTGACAACCGAAGGCAGTGGTAATGGTGGTATTCCGCGGCGGTGCTTCCAGCTACAAGAATGCATTGTCGGTCAGTTTGGTGTTTTCATCCTGGATCCGAATATGGAAGCCGAAGTTATGGTGAATAGCTTTCGAATTGTCCAACGGATGCGAACTTCTGAATGTCATGCAAAAACGGGAACAGCGCTATATTACCACTTGTGTACTCCCCAGGATCATATGAGATAGAGCTCTTCTCTTTGTGGAAGTACATCCCCCAAAGAGTGGAAATAAAAGGCAGCACTAAACCACAAAAGCTAGAGGTATGCGATCCAATTGTGGAGTATATAAAATGCTCGAAACATTTTATTCAAAACACCCTGCTGATAATCTGGTCCACAGTCGATCTATCCAACATTTCGTGGAACCCATTCACCAAATACCCTGCCTACTATTGCATTTCCCCTGTGTCCGCAAACCCGTCTTCTGATGATTCAAGACGCTCTGAATCTTACAGGTTGCTTACCTAGAGTAGATGTTCGCTAATCTCCCGGACCTCAGCCTGTCGATGGTCTAATCTGCTTGCACTTGCCTTCGTTAGCTCTACAAAAAGAAGTACATATTTATGGTGTGCGTGAAATATTCCGTGTACACTGCGAAGGTCTGGTTACTCATTTCGCTAATACGGAACTGCTTCAGTGACTCACTCCTTAGGTCCGCTCCGACACGCACTACGGCGTGGCTAAGAAATAAATTAAAAGAATATGTGATACACTCCTATGCAGGCCTACAACAAGAGACTAAGCTCTCCCACCTTCGACAAGGTGCTTAAGAATGGCCTACGGGAGGGTTTTTTTCTTCCAAGAATTGAACTTAAAACTTTTGGTTTTAAGCTAAGTTAACTATCATTGTTCTTGATCTTGATGAATTGTCAAAGAATCAGCAATCAATGCTCATCTTTACAGACCTTGATATTAAAAACTTAACTAGCTAAACCCGGACAAATTCAAAAAGTTTGAATATGTCTACCCTACCATGCACGCTATAATAGTTGATAACATTTACCCAAACAATAATTAGCCAGGAATTTCTTTCGAAATAACCCAGTAGCTAGCTACCCAATACCAAATTCAATAAAATTGTATGATAAATAAAACTGTCCATTGGTAGGTATCACTCAATCAAACGAACCGTTTTCGTTGGGCTGGATCACTTTGAGCTAGTTTACAAACTATGTAGGTAAGTAGGAACCGTTCTAAGTTGGATCGAACTAATTGCAATCATAAGAAAAACACGGAAAGAAAATGTCATCAATCACCTGGTCAAACTAGAGTTCCTCCTTCGTCGTCGCTTCCTGAACTGGTTCTGGCTCGCTCTGCGGTTTGGATTCGGGTTCGATTTCCTTTTCATCTTTGGGGATAGCTGAAAAGAGAGTTTTGGTAATTCGACTATGAAAACCCAAGCTTTGAACGTTGTTATCCAGTTTTATTTGAATCAGCATTCCTTTGTCTATCGAACACTACAAAGTGAAACATTCCGGCTTAGTGAATATGTGTGTAGTACCTAGTGCTATTGAATTGTTAGATGCTTCTTTTTGGTGGTTGAATAATGTTTCACAATTCTTTCTTAGTTGTGGCAGCTGCTTACACTATTATGTTCCAATCAAGATTGACTTGACGAGAACTTAAAAAAATGGCAACAAATTCCCTCAATAAGACCAATCACTCTGTAACTTATCTAATGCAATTCCTGACTAAAAGTTGTTCATGCGATTTTAAAGGAAGAACCCAGTAACTGTGGTCATCATTAGATTCTAAGCATTTACTGCTGCAAAAGTTCTTCGAGTATCTTTGGTGATGGGGCCGGATTGGCTTGCGGTTCCGTGTTGAGCCAGTACTCCGATACGGATATGTAGACGGCTACGGCCAGACCGACGAGAGCCGCCAGCCAGGTCGAGCTTTGCAGTACGATACACGTGGCTATGCAGAGACCCAGATAGGTCAAATAGCGAGTGAAGGTTACGTATTGGTTGCGTTTTTCGCTCGAAGTATCTGAGAAGTAGTGGGTAGTCAATGTTACAATTTCTGATAAGAAAAACGAGTTAAGTAATGGGGAGGAAGGTTAACTGAATTGAGGGGCTTGGGAAAACCGGACGCAAGCAAAAACACAACTAAGAAGAATCATGCAGGCAGATAAATCATGTTTCAAGAAGCCGAAATGCAAAATGAAAAACATTAGAGGTGCTCTTCAAGCTTACCTGTACACATTCCATCTCTTAACTCGTAACCATCAGCGCATGTTTTGCACATGTCTGGACCATCGCCGTCGCATCCATCGCACGATTTATCACAATCTGTCGATAATAACGAGTGAATTAAATTATTCAAGCCCATCACATCAATCTAATGAAAACGCCATTACCTAAACAACTGAACGACCCTTCGTTATTTACGCAAAACTGCTGCTTAGTGCAGGTGTTGGCCGTGAGGCACTCATCAATATCCGTGCATCCACCTCGCTGGCTGTCCATGATCCAGCCACTCCGGCAAACGCGACAAGCTGCAACACCAAGAACATGCCGCATTAATGAAAATCCATCTCCATTCAACACCCAACCCACACACACTCACCATTCGGTCCCGCTCCGGTGCAACCTCCGGTGGCGCAAGCCTTATGGCAGTTTGAGCAGAGCAACTTTTCAGCGTCACGAAATGCCTCGTAGTGCTCCGGTCCACAGCCGTCGCAGTTTTCCCCGACATAGCCCTCCTCACAGGAACACTTGCCGTTTCCCTTCCGGGTTCCATTGCCCTTGCATTTCCCGTTGCCAAAACAGCTCGGACATGGATCGCAATTCGGACCATAGAATCCATCGGGGCAGCATACTTTGGCTTGCTCCACGCACAACCACTGTTGCAAGTCAGGTTGCACAGTCTGATGCTCCTTCCACCATTCTTCGATCAGGGATTCGTGTTCCTCGGCCAACTGATGACACTGGTCCTCCCCGCGCCCCACATCCCGACACAATCCCTCCTGTATTTCGACCAGCCGGAGTTCGCTGGTCTTGTAACTTCCAAGCCGTTCCTCTTCCCATGCGGCATCACCGCCATCGTGCTTTGACCGTTCCGTACGTTTCATACCATCGCGGTAGGAATCCACCAGTACCGTACACGCTCGGCATGGTGGTAGCTTTTCGGACTTTTGACGATCCTTTTTCGATTTTGCCAAATTCGGCAACTGGGGAATGTCGGCTTCTGCCAACTGAGTGCAGGCGGAAAGGGTTAGGAGAAAAATTGAACCCAACACCCGGTTGAACCTCATTCCTTCCACAAATGTATGTGTCCTCTACAGTCCTCTGTTCCGCTGGTGGAAGATGCAGTGCTGGGAAAATCAATAACACGTCAGTGTTTTCGGTACACCTAAACTCGGAAGGTGTCGACCGAATGGAAACGTCCAAAAACACTCAATTTATGAAAAGACAATTAACTAGCACCACTATCACTTACCTTTTCTGACCTTTTAATTCATAAATACCCTAATTTCACAAGAATTTATAAGGTTTTACTGAGAAATTTTACAGATCGGGCCGAACTTGCGAACGATTTTCTGGTGCGGAAGAAGACAACAAAATAAAACCGAACCAATTTGACAGTTCGAGTTGACGTGTTCTTTGCACCACAGAAAAACAAAACTACCCACCGCTTGGGTTTTTTAAACTCAAATTTGAGTTATTTTACCTCTGCCCGTTTCATTTCCTCTCGCTATTGTTGTCAAAAGTAGAACGAAAGATTCGACTCAACCGTCTAGTTCCGTACGAGAAGCCAAAATTGAGTAATATGCGATATACCCAAATTTGAGTTAATTGAACTTAATTTTGGGTAGAAAAAATTGAAAATAACTTAGCGATGGGTAATTTTTTTTGCCGTCCTTAAATGCAAACTACTTTGAGCCGGTTTACCCAAATTTGGCTTATCGTACGGAACATGGGAGATGAGTGAAAAGAACTTAATTTTGGGTTGTTTTGAATTTCTGTGACGAGATCAAACTCACTGGGCATGAGCTGAGCTGACCATTTGAAAGGGTATGCGCGCCAATTTTAGGTTTAATTCAAAGTCCTAACTTCACAGCAAAATGATTTTAAATTACATTAATGGTGGTAAGCTCCAACCGGTATTATCCTCGGATTAAATTCCGATCAAGAATGGCCGGCTGGTTTGATGTCGACATCAGAGTTAATCAACATAACTTTGAGCAAACATTTTTCAGATCATACAAACAGAGACGGTATTAAAAGTTAATCCGAGTTGGAGCTTACCGCCATAAATGTTGATCAACGTAATTCATGCTTTATCCAAATATTTAAAAATTTAAAAATTGTATATTTAATACGGATGCAATTGCAAACAGCAGTTACAATCACCTCTATTCTGCGTGTCGTGCATTTGAAAAAGTGACGCGAGATTTGTATGAAGTTCAGTATGAATTTATAGTAGGGTAAAGTATATGGCTTCAGCGCCCATCAATGGTCTGGCGAAACAACATTTCGAAATGGCGCATTATCTACAACCGATCAAACTCCAAGGGTACACACTTAGAAAATATTACCGAACTCGGTTTGATTTCAACCGAGTTTTTATCTGCTGAACGCTCGGTAGCCTGTTCGGTTCAAGGAGGAATAACCAAGCTGTCGTTAGTTCTTATTGTTACCGACAATTTGTCAAAGTTACCGAAAATCTCGGTTGACGAAAAATAAATTTAAGCAGAAATAACCGAAAATTCGGTTTACTCAAAAATTACCGAACGCTGTCAAACAAACCAACCCACCTGTTGTACTTACGGAATTCGGTTCTCTTAGGCAGCGTTCGGTTTTCACTTTAAATTTTGATTAAGGATGCGTTGATCGAATTTTCATAAAAATAAAACCAGTTTTGTCAAAGAAATGTATGAAATATATTTATTTGATTTGTTTTGGAGAATAAAAACTCCCGTAACGCGAGTTACAGCGTGGAAGAGTACAGTCAAAAAAATATCACTGACTTTGAAGTCAGACTTATTCAAATAGTTTTCAAATGCCTTTGCAAACCAAAGACATAATCTTGTACATTTTCACGGCAGTAGAGACAAACTATAGCACAAGATGCCTGCAAATAAAATCATTCAGTTAGTTTCAAATACTTACAAAAGATTTCAATCAAACGTGCATCCTCCTGTCACAGTTGATTCAGAACTTTATCCATTTTTACTAAAGTTTTGCACATGTCCGATGAGCACACGGGAGAAAACATGGCTGACTAATTTTAGACTCAGTTTAGAGAACTGAGTTTTCGGTTAAAATTTCCGTCGCGAAGTTGAGCGCAATTAATCATTTTGTCTGACCATTTTCCACAGAGATGGCGCTGTTCCGCTGGTAGGAAGTGATAAAATTCCCCATATAGAAATTGAGAGAAGTGGGAATAATTCGCTTTCGGTGCATATTCAGGTGAAAAAAAGTGAACAACCTAAAGAAATTAATCAGGGACTTTGTCGTTCAATTTTTCCCAGAAATTATTGTTAAACAAGCTACAATTAAATAAAAATGATTTTTCCCCATACAATTTTACCTGCTTTACTACCAGTCCCCAGAGAGCCAAAAAAATTCAAATTTGAGAGAGAAATTCTCTCTCACGAGCTCAATCTCTCAACATGCCATGTATTTTGTTGACACTCGATTTGTGATTTCCCTTTCACAGATTACAAAATAGAGTACACGACACTACAAAACATGTCTGGTACCTCTATATATGCATTTGCTGTAACATTTGAAGTCCCTCCTTTTTTACATATTCTGCGCAAAGGATACTTTATGCCCCGCCCCATACATAAAATTCGGCGGGAAATTCTGTGAGGGGTGAGCTATTTTGTGTGCAGAATGTGAAAAAAGGAGGGACTTCGAATAATAAGCTAAATGCATATATAGAGGTACCAGACATGTTTTGCACTGTAGTGTCTTCTGTGAACAATTATAGGCAAACAGATTGTGTCTAGTTTCCGATAGATGTCACCGCAAACAACAGCTGTGACATCTGATGGAACATGAATGCAGAAGCTTGACAAAATGATCAATAGGAACGTTTGACGTTTAACACGTTTTAGCGAATACTCGGTTCAGTTTACCGAGTTTCTCGGTTTCCACGTAGTGAATTCGTAAATGTCGATACTTTACCGTACTGTTCGGTTCAGTACGGGTTTCTTCGGGTGTGCTTCGATAAACGATGGTTTTTAAACCATTTATTCGGTTTCTCGTTTGTAACCGAAGAGGTTCGGTAGAAAATTAAACCGAGTTCGGTATTATTTTCTAAGTGTGTAGTAACCTCGTCCACATTTATGGGATCATTTTGTTTTCTCCGAGGGGCACGCAATACAAAGAACAATTTTAGTCCGGAAGTTGAAAGGTGATAGCTCTGTTGAGATTCAGTAGCCCATTTCAGAATGCCTGGTCACTCACGTCCATTCCGAGGTTACTTTCACTCAGTGGCGTCGCCCTAACCTCAATCTACCTGTTCAGCAACTTTCAAAACGTAATCAAATAAAACAATATTGGTATCAATTAATATAAATCAGTGAAATTATAAGACCCTGTGCCTTTTGAAACTTATTTGAATATTAAAATGACCCTAAATAACGTTTCCAAAGCTGTTGCACAGGTAAAAAGTGAGGTTACGCGACGCCACTGCTTTCACTTACAACAAACCCGCATACACGTAGTACCGATATAAATTGTATATTGGTACTGCGTGTACATTTCCATCATCAAAGCAATTCCTGCTTTGTAGATGGCACGTATTTAGTAGGATGCATTTCATATTATCATTCTAGTTGTAATCAGTTAGATCTCACCGCTTATGTATTGTGTCCTTGCTGCTGAATCTTTGTCATCTCGATTCTCGTTGAGTCCTGTTGAATAATCGGCATCTGTAGTGGAATACTCCTCTCTCTTTCTCTTTTTCGATGTTTTTCGTATCTCTTCTTGAATATTGTAACAATCCCATTCCCAACTGTCTGCTGTCTGACAGTGGCAGTATGGATAAAATCTCCCTGCACTGCAAGAAGCTTGAATCCTGGAGTTAGAAGATGACAGCTCTACCGCAGTTCCAATAGCCCATTTCAAGATCGCAATTATTCCGAAGCTATTTTCACACAGCATAAGCCCCGCCAAATAGATTATCGATGCTAATTAACCACTGATAATATATTGAAACTTTCAATCAAGCAGAATGATTCGAGAAAAAAAATTGAATTGAAAATAAATACAAAATATATTTACTAAATTCTCAGGGTAAATTTTGTTCATCAATGTTTAGTTATGTGAAAAATTGGCTTGAACAAAATGGTTAGTTTTGACCTGATTATCTGACCAACACACAGAAAACCAAATCGATCACGTTCTAATCGACGGGAAATTCTTCTCCGACATGATCAACGTTCGCACGTACCCCAGTGCGAACATAGGCTCGGACCACTACCTAGTTGCAGTATGCATGCGCTCAAAACTCTCGACGGTTCATAACACCCGTCGAAGTCGAACGACGCGACCCAACATTGAGCAACTACGGGACGCCGGAGTTGCCCAGGACTACGCGCAGAAGCTGGAAGTTGCACTACCCACGGAAGAGCAGCTTGGCGCAGCTTCTCTTGAAGATGGCTGGAGGGACATCCGTTCAGCCATAGGTAGTACTGCTGCAGCACTAGGTACTGCAATCCCGGACCGAAGAAATGACTTGTTTGACGGCGAATGCAAACTGTTAGTAGAGGAGAAGAATGCAGCACGGGCGAGAATGCTGCAACACCGCACGAGATTGAATGTGGAGCGATACAGACAAGCGCGGAACAGACAAAACTCGGTTTTCCGAAGGAAGAAGCGTCAGCAGAAAGACCGAGATCGCGAGGCGATGGAAAATTTGTACCGCGTAAACGACACACGGAAGTTCTACGAGAAGCTAAATAGTTCGCGCAAAGGCTACGTGCCGCAAGCCGATATGTGCAAGGACTTGGACGGTAACCTTCTCACGAACGAGTGTGAGGTGATTGAGAGGTGGAAGCAGTACTATCAACCGGTGGAAACTAACGATTTAAAATTGGCTCACTACTTGACTAGCCTATTGGTCCCAAGCAAATCGATTAACGTACCCCCTTCTAGTCGAAATTCTAGTACTATACAATGTTTGTTTTGATTCACTATGAAAGTTTGACAGATAAAAGTAGTGGATTTTCCTATGTTTCGAGGGGTGAATCGATTAGCTTGGGACCGAAAATAGTACCAGAACTGAGCCAAAAAGTTGAGCACGTTTCTTCGGGACCTTCTGGTCTTAGAGTTACCTCTATGGTACTATGACGAGCACCTCAACGGTGAAGCAGCAGAAAACGAAGGTGGCACGGCAACATACCTTGGAGCACGCGCAGAAGACGACAGGCTACCGGCCCCTGATCTTCAAGAAGTTGAGGAGGAGATCGGTCGGCTGAAGAACAACAAAGCAACTGGTGTAGATCAACTACCAAGTGAGCTATTTAAATACGGTGGTGAAGCACTGGCTAGAGCGCTGCACTGGGTTATTGCCAGGATTTGGGAGGAGGAGATATTACCGGAGGAGTGGATGGAAGGTGTCGTATGCACAATCTACAAAAAGGGCGACAAGTTGGATTGCTGCAACTACCGCGCGATCACACTGCTGAGCGCCGCCTACATGGTACTCTCCCAAATTCTATGCCGCCGTCTGTCACCATATGCAAGAGCGTTCGTGGGGCAATACCAGGCGGGATTCATGGGTGCCCACGCTACCACGGACCAAATTTTCACGATTCGGCAGGTTCTGCAAAAATGCCGCGAATACAACGTGCCCACACATCATTTGTTCATCGATTTCAAATCCGCATACGACACAATCGATCGAGATCAGCTATGGCAGATTATGCACGAGTACGGATTTCCGGACAAACTGACGCAATTGGTCAAGGCGACGATGGATCGAGTGATGTGCGTTGTTCGAGTATCGGGGACACTCTCGAGTCCCTTTGAATATCGAAGGGGGCTACGGAAGTCCATCCAGCTTCTTGGCTTCGCCAATGACATTGATATTATGGCACGGATCTTTGAGATGATGGCGGAAACGTACATCAGACTGAAGGCTGAAGCTAGGTGGATTGGACTTGCCATCAACGCATCAAAGACAAAATACATGAAAGGAAGAGGTTCTAGGAAAGACAATGTTAGCCTCCCACCCCGAGTTCAGATTGACGGTGACGAAATCGAGGTGGTCGATGAGTTCGTGTATTTGGGCTCACTGGTGACCGCTGAAAACGATACCAGCAGAGAAATTCAAAGACGCATTATGGCAGGGAATCGTGCCTACTTTGGACTCCGGAGGACGCTCCGGTCGAATAAAATTCGCCGCCGCACGAAATTGACTGTCTACAAGACGCTGATTAGACCGGTGCCGGTGGTGCTCTACGGCCACGAGACCTGGACTATTCTCGTGGAGGACCAACGCACCCTTGGTGTTTTCGAACGGAAGGTGTTGCGTACCATCTACGGTGGAGTGCAGATGGATGACGGAACGTGGAGGAGGCAAATGAACCACGAATTGCACCAGCTGCTGGGAGAACCATCCATCGTCCATATTGCAAAAATTGGGCGACTACGGTGGGCTGGGCACGTCGTTAGAATGCCGCACGACGACGCAGTGAAAATGGTTCTAGAAAGCGACCCAACAGGAACAAGAAGAAGAGGCGCGCAGAGGGCAAGGTGGATCGACCAAGTAGAAGGCGACTTGCGGACCCTTCGCAGACTACGAGGTTGGCGAAGTGTGGCCATGGATCGAGTAGAGTGGAGACGACTTCTTCGGACAGCAGAGGACACCAAGGCCTTAGTCTGATTGGTAAGGTAAGTTTGACCTGATTATAAAAAGAAACTTTGACATACATAAAATTTAAAACCTATTTAAATTATATAAACAAGATTATTTTCCTGGTGGACTTATGAAATTCCTGTTTTTTTCCCGGTGAAAATAAATTCCCGAATTTTTCCCGGTTTTCCTGGTTCACTTGCCACCCTGTTAGGTGGATATATGGCCGGAAAGAATTTTGAATTTGAAGACGGTTAAAAAACATGTGGATGAACACACCTACCATCACGATCTCTCCTGTTCCGGAACCTTCCGAGTTTTCAACTCCCATCTCTGAACTAGACAAACTAGAGCAACCAAACGAACTGTCAAAAAGTTCAGCCAACCGAACATCGCCCATTTTTACAGTTTTGGTTTGATTCAGTCCATTTCACCGACTTCGGATTGTTATTTAAGATGTTGCGCTGCGTTTGTAACGTAGTAATTTGTAGATTGCATACTGGAAAATATCATGTATATACTTAAACACTCTTATTCTGATTGCTCAAGGAAAACTAGTTGGGAGTGAATAGCTTTGCAATCAGAGTTCAGAGAGCAGGAAAAGCATGATAATTACCATTGCCGGCCACGCCCATGTTCTCCGTTACGGGGAAAGGGAGGATGTTGTTGATGTCAGCTTATTATGATGGTTAGTTTCCAGAACGTCTGGAAGTCGTCGTTGTTTCTGCGGTCCACCATTCTGACTTGAATGATTGTTGTTAGGTGGTTACAATTGGTCTACAAGACGGACGTACCAGAGTGTTGGTACTGCCTTTAGATAGAGCTACGTCTGATAAGGTCTTAGTGTGATCTGTCAAGGTTCCGAGTATTACTCATCTGTCTGCTCGATGACTTCAACATCACCGGTTGTACGGCGTAGGTAACAGTGGTGTCTGGACAAGTGATTTATTCGGATTGTTTCAATTTGAATACATTTCAAAACCAATACTGTTATTTTCTTACAAATCGACTTTTATTCAGCAGATCAATAATTTGCATCGTAGAAAACTATTTCTTTGAGCGAGATTTCTGAGTAAACAAACAAAAAAAGAAAAAATAGTTATACAAAACTTAAGTTTGAAAATTCCCTGAATTCATCAATTCTATATCCGTATACGGGTTGCGTACTTTCTTCAATTCATGAAGACACACGCACGAGGCTCCAATTTGTAGCTTACATTATCCGCTTAGCGTGCCGGGAAAAAGGGAAAAACTGATGACTTAACAACTCTTATCTAACTCTTACCAACTGTTTTTTACCAGTTGGAGATATTCGAAAAAAGATAGCTTCTTCAAAAAAAATACTTGGCAGTGATTGGCTTGCCACTTTTTTTTTCCCCGCTCCTCCTAAGGCACCGAATTGGTAGCAATGGCAATGGGCCACGTAACCGGACCCTTCATCACAATATCAGCCAGACTCTGTTTGATCCGAATGAAACGTCGCTTGAATTCCAAACCACATCCCTTCGATAAGCGGAAATCGCACAGGATTCTGCCGTCCATTTCCACGATGTTGGCCTTGAAGATCAGCTGCAATTTCCGGCGGTCGATCGTCGAGATGGTGATGACGGCTTCGTCATTGCACTTCCAACTGTAGCCCAACTTTTCGAACGCGGACGAAAGCCGCTTCAGCGTTTCGTCACACTTGGTGGACACGAAAAACCGAGTCATACGACGTACCAACCGCTGAAAGGGGTTGTTCGATTGAGTCGCTCCCACGGACTGGGTGGGATTCATCTGGGTGCACAGGATCAGATCATCCAGCATGGTAGGTTGCGAGAAGCAGAATCCATTGCGAGCTTCGATCGCTTCCTCGACTCCGTGCACCTCGGTGTGGGTTATCGTCGGAACCGGCTGAGATTGCCACATCCGCGAGGTGGAATCATCCAACGGGGACGATAGGTCCTGATTCGAGCAGAGTCGTTTGGCGCGAGGTGAAACGACACCATCGACCACGTCCCGTCCGTTTCCGCTGCTGTCCGAGAGGCCTGCGTTGGTGGAGAGAGAAAAAAAGATGGGGGGAAAAAGTTGTTGATTATCACAGGTCTGTTTTGTTGGAAGGACATTTTATTTGAAACTACAGAAACGAGCGTGCACAGTGTAACGTTTAATGGCGGTGTGTTCTAGTTTTACAAATATGTGGATAAATTAGTCAGACAGACGAATGTATGACTTTCTTCGAAAACTGTATACCTCTCCTTCTCATGGAAACACATGTATTCTCCAACTTTTCGCACTGAATGATTTTTATTCTTATCCTTAGTTGAAATGTGATTGCTGGGGAAATGGGGGTAAAATAAGCATACGGGATAAAGTGAACAATAGACGATTTTAAGTGCTTATTCATTCAAATGTCAATCAATTTGACGCACAGACATACACAATCCTACCCAGGTATAGCTAATAGAGGCCTGAAAAACGGCACATTAGCGGGATTATTGATTGTTTGGATGTATCGGAGAGTATTACTTATAAACTTGTTTCTCTTCCACTGAGCCTAGATTTAAACGGGCAAGTCTGATAGCCATCATATCTGAGAATGAATTGTTTGTTATTCTATATACAATCATGAAAAATACATTTTGTTGCTGGACATCGCGACTAACATTTGAAAATGGTCTAAAATGTTTAACATTCATAATTAGTATTTTTTGAAATTCACATTAACCTGAAAACGGGTGGACTAAGGAAAAGAGTTTGTGTGTGCAAAATTTATCAAAACATATGAGTACAATCGAAGAATCCAAATAAATTATTGCTTTACTAAGAAATATGCAATTTTGTAATATTTTGAAATCAATAAAATTTTTTAAAAATATTGAATTTTATTGAAGCCAGTTACCTGGCTACACTTTTCACCAAATTTCAGAGCATTACTTTAGCTTTCTTAACAAAAAAAAAAAAAAAAATAGATGAAAATCGAAGGAGGCATGTTTTGAGAAAATCAACGATTTATGTTTTTTTTACTATGAATTTACCTAGTTTTTTTTCTTTCAGTGTATTTTTTTTTATCAAAGATCGCTTAGTTACCAAAAACTTTTTCTCAATTTGATCAGATCAATCATTTTCATGTTGATTTTTTGAAAAAAATATAATCTATTTTTTGAATACACCTTTTTCAAAAGTTACTCTTGAGAAAAAATCATAATAAATAAGTAACCAATAGTGACATTTGATCTGATACTGAAATTATTTGTTTTTGTCATGCAACTTAACATGACAATTTCATAAATTCTCCTAATTATATCGAGTCTCACAAAGGAATCTCCTATATAGACCAATGAAGCCACTAGCTTAAATAGAGTTAAATAGATCATTACAACGACAGCATTTTTTATTTTTGAAGATCTTGGATTTGATGCTACGTTTGAAATATTAAAAATTAGAGGTAGATAACTTTGAAAATTCGCTAAGATTTTTCACAAAATTTCTTTAGAATGATCTCAAGAACTTCCCCTTCTCTTAAACTTGCATCTAAAATAATATTAACAAAAATAATATTGTATTCTTGAAATCCTTGGCAGAACAATTAATTTAATTCTTGTAGATAGATTATGTTCGTAGTTGAAGATGCTTAACGTCAAATATCAGACTTAAAGTGTGACATTTTATACGATAGTTGAGGAGATGAAAGTATAGAGTTGATAGTTCCGTTAGAGTACGGCAATGTGAAAATTGTGTATAGAAAGAAGAATGCGAGCAAAGGCTAATTTTGATGAAGGCACGAATCGGATCGAGCATTCCTTTTACCAAACTCACCCATTGATGGATGGTGAGGGGCATTTCTCCCCGCCACCACTGGCAAAAGGGATGATCGCTGATGTTTCACACTCAAATCGCCATCTGACATGCATCTACCCGATTGCTCTCCTCAAAATTGTCCCTTACTCGTCTACTATCTAGGGGGAATGGCTCTAATGTTGGCCTATCGATCTAAGATTGGGCCCATCGCTAAAAATTTGCTATTTATCAATTTTATCTAGATGAATGCGTCATTGGGACGGTACTAATGGATATTTTTGTCGTTATTGAAAATTTAGTCGATTGCTGAATTTATGTATAGGCTCACATTAGGGGCATTTAGGCCGACATTACATCCATTTCCCCTATATACAATTTTCACACTGCCGTACTATAACGGAACTATGAACTCTATACTTTCATTTCCTCCATCGTAAAAAATGTTCCCCGCTAAGTCTGATATCGATAACTTCACGCATGAAGTAATGAAACATGATTAGTTAAAGTAGAGTATTTTTGATTTTTTAATGATTCTTCCAGGAATTCCTTGAAGGTTCCTTCCATTGCTTAGAATTATCTTGGAGTTCTCCCCTGAATTCTATTGGAAATTCAATTCGTATTTCCCTCAGAATTCCCATGGTATTTTCTCAGAATTCTCAAAACCAAAATTCATCTCAGAATACTCTTGAAACTTTTGTCAGAGTTCCTTTGAGATTGAACCCTCCAAATTTGATTCTATTGGAATTCTTTTCGCAAATTATTTCGAGCTCTTTAAAATTCTCTTGGAAATATCCTCAGAAATAACTCCAGAATTCTTTTAGAACTATCAGCAGAGATCTCTCAGAGCTGGTCATAAATAAATCAGAACCTATTTTGAGTTCTTATTAGAATTGGACCTAGAATCCTCATCAAATCATCATAGAATACTTCGTTATAATGCACATAGAGCTCTTCTCTCAATTATATTGGAATTATTTCCAAAATTGTTTCGGAGCTGAATTTTGGGTCTCTAATAGTTTAAACAATAATCAAAAGCGGCGCTCGTATTTGTCAGTTTCAGGGCCGGTTTTCTCAACTCCGCTTAAGCCTTGAAAATCTGATTTAAGATTTCGAGCGGAGGTGAAGAAATCGGCCCTCAGAGCACTTAATTTTACATGAGACTTTCGTAGTATGTACTTTGGTATTATTCTCTGAACTAACTTGCTGTCATCCCTAGAGTTCCTTTAAAAGACTTCTGAAGATCTAGCACAGACAAATTCCATTTAAAAAAGTTCCCCATGTTTAGAATTTATTTTCGGGAACAGGAGGTATATTTCACCGATTCGTAATCGAAATTGAAGGCATTTCCCAGTATTTTTCCTGGTTTTTTAAAGTTCCTTGAATATTTCCGGTTCACTGGCCACTCTGGTTAAATTTTTTAGTTTTTTAACAGATATGCAAATTTTGTCAAGTGCCAAGTAGTCAATTTAAACATTTTGTTGATTTTTTTTTTCAATTTCACTCTATTTTGATTGTGAAAAAGTGACTTTATTGACGATTTTTAGAGAAATAGTAACTTTAGTGACTGACTTCAAAATAGTGACCAAGTCACTAAAAAGTAACATACCAGCTCTGTGTATGTCAAAATTTATTCAATAATTCGAATTATTTGATGGTTTAGAAAAGTGTTTACAAATAATAATCTTAGGTAGAGTAAGCACAGTGTTGCTTTTTGCCGTTTTCGTGCGCTTTTTTAATAGCTTCTCAAACATTGATTTTAGGGGTATAGTTTGTTCAAAGATGTTTTTGCATATGTTAATCCGCTTCTTTTGATGTAGACGATTTGGCAATTAATCCACCGAAAAGTGAGATCAAAAAAATATTTTTTATCTGATTCAGATAGAGACTTAACGTCTTGAATAAAGTATATAAGGTTTGGAAATTGCAGCTATTGTTACCTCTACCACGGTATGTGCTCCTGTCATCGTCGACTTGACGATCTCGAGGGGACACGGGTAGGGTAGGTGCTGCTACTGTACCTTTCTACCAATGACAGTAATTGATGGTATGCTCCCAACCAGAGTTATGTACTTTGACTATATGTTTAGTATTACTTCTGCGTGAAGTCAACGATTTACATAGTTGAAGATGCTAATTTCAAATAACAGACTAAAGTGATAATTTTTATACGATAGATGAGGCCGTACTCTGACGGAACTATCAATTCTATACTTTCATTTCCCCTGCAAATCAGCAAGTTCGATGAGATCTATTGATAGTTATTTTAAGCTTCAAATACATATCTTCTTAAATTAGTTTCAGAAAACGTATTAGCATTAATAAATTCTAAATATTACTAGTTTTGAGCATATTTAGTGTTCGGTTATTGAGTTATAGCAAAGAAAGGAAACCTCATATCTGCTTCGAAAATTGAAAAAAAAATCGATGTACTTTAGAGTGCCACCTAGCGATGGAAAGTACGCTTTTTACACGGAAAATATTGGTAGCATTATACCAGTTTCAATAACAGGTACAAGTACAGCTTAGCTGCTTTAAAGCGGTTTTATAAAAAATGAAATATTTTTCTACCAATACAATTCATTTGTATAGTAACGTCTACGGTAAAGTAGAAAACCGAAAATTCCGCCACGGGCCAATTGATTTTACTCTCAATCTGTATGTAAAACATAACGTCGAACAAAGTTCACTGCATTCGCCCAACGTTTTATGTGTACAATCTGTCGAATTGAAACATGCTTATGGTGGTAAGCCTCAACCGGTATTGTCGTTCCACTTGGAAGCTGGAAATTAGACTCGCGAAAAATGTTTTTTGTTTTATACGTTAAACCTATCGTATAGTGCGCTGTATAGCGCGTCATTGGGTGATCACAAACAAACAAAAAAATCATTTTTCGCTAGTTTGATTTTCCAGCTTTCAAGTGGAACGAAAATATTATACTCGGGTTAAATTCCGATCTCAAATGTCAGGTTTATTTGCTATCGACGTTGGTGTTAATTTATTTTATATCTTTATTAAGGAGAGTTTCAGCCCTGGGCTGGTTCGTCTCCTGGTTGGTGTTAATCAATACATTAACAATCATTCAGCAGATTTTCCAAACAGGGACGGTATTAAAAATTAATCCTGGTTGGAGTTTGCCACCATTAATGTACCAAGTTTGAAAGCATGGTTAGCAATTCGGAATCTGTTGGTTAGCTCTGGAAAAAAAATTGTTCCAAAAGTTTGATGGTATCTTCATTTACAATTTATGGAAAAATAATCATTGAAAATTGTTTTACATTGCGATTAAATTTAATTATTACGTTTGAAAACGTACATTATCTATGTCCGATTTTTAATGAGGAGGGGGAAAGTCTGGAAACTGTGACGATCCATACAAAATTTTATGGGTTGACAATTTCTCATTTCCGTGTAAAATTTTTGATAGATCTTACCGAGGGGAAGTCAGCTTTCATTAAAGTACCTCTTGTACTCAGATTTACTCATAGCTACGCTGAATTACTCTGGTTTGCTGCGAGACACAACTAACTAGGCATATAGTTTTGATTCCTGATTCTGCAGCTGACAGTCCATCGACGAAACACAAACATTTATTATTTTCGCTTGTAAATAACAAAAATACTTTTCAATATTCAATGTAATTCTTAGTTTGAGTGGTAGCCAGAAGATATTTCTGTAATGCTTAGCACAATCGTTTTGTAAAATGCTCTATAACATTAAATCAATGATGATTTTTCATAGCGATGAATGTGTTTTTATGTCGTGTGTCGAATATCGATTTCTGATCACTTCATGTTGTTCCTGTTCCGGAAATATTCAAACTGATATCATAATATTTCTAGATAAATCTCAAAATAGGTAGAGCTAATGGAAGTTCTTATTTTTATTTATGCCACATTGATGATACTAATTTGAGATATGGTCAATATATCAAGATATTGCATAATCAAGAAACTCACTCCTTGGGAATAGGGTATGATTGTGCTTGCCACACAATATACGAATGCAAAAATGGTGCAGGCTAAGAAAGCTCTCTATTAACAACAGTGGAAGTGCTAAAAAAAACACTAAGTTCCCCCCCTCCCCCCCCCCCAACTTAGTGGTGGGGGGGGGGGGAGGTTAGAGACAAAGTGGTACAATTTTGATCGATTCTCTTCATCGACTTTCTCATTTGATAATCACGGCACCAAATAATTTCACATTATTTCCGCTACATAGTTTGGTAAAGGAGGTTATTATCTGTCATACAGTATAGCAACCGCATCAAGGAATATGTTTGCCACTGAGTTATTAACGAAAGACAAAGGCGATTAAGAGAATCAATCAAAATCAATTGTACCCCTTTGCCTCTAATCCTGAGGGTTTTGACGGTACTCGTAAGCAAGCGTACTCGGCAAGCGTAAATAGAAATAGAAGTAGGGCATAATAGCCAAAGAAGAAAAAGAAGATTAAATTTTTTATCTTTAAAACATTTGGCACAAATAGAATGATGCATGTTTGACAAGCTGTGGGTACTCAATTAGAATATCGAATGAATCATGAAATTAATAGATAAATGCAGACAGGACCTCTTGAAATGTTAATCTAGATATGTCCAGTACATAAATACAAAAAAACTTGTTTGTACAAATTGATATGAGCTTTAAAACAACAGTTCGTATTAAGCAGGATGAACTGTAAAGCTAACGGTCATTTCAAAACGTAGTAAGAAATTATACCATTTTATTCTAGATTAAACTGGCATAAACGAACACGTTAAATATAAAATGATTAGATGAAAAGAAATCGATGTTGATTTTTCAATCGTCAGAGTAAACACTTTCTGGTTCATCGTTTGTATGAAGTTACTGTTCCTTTGTTTGGTTATAGTGTTCGGCTTTTTGAAATTCAGTCTAATGAGCCGGAGATGAACCAGCGTTCGGTTGAAAATCCCCTCAATGATCAGAGATCAGGGTGGCCAGTGAATTTTCATTTTGAAATTCCCGGCTTTTTCCCGGTTTAAATCTTAAAAAATTCCCGGTTGTAAATATTAAACAAAAAAACCAAATTGAACACATTTTTAAGAAAGCTCTGAAAGGAATTTACTAAAAGGACAAAAAATGTGATATAAGAAGATTCCCAAGATTCTGGGGCTTTAAGCTTTTTTTCAAAATTTGTGATTACTAACAATCTTTATGATGCAAGATTTGGAGTAAAAATAATTAAAATGTGAGATTTTGGAAAAAAAAATTCAAGATCACAGATATGAAAAATTAAATAAATATCATACTTATGAGTCGTGGAGTCATAATTGTCACGCTCTGAGACTTGGAAGCATTTTAAGGGTTATAAGAAATTTCATAACAATCTATAGAATCTAGCGGACAAACCCTGGATTTTTTAGTAAATTTTAAAAGAATTCAAAGTGTTGAGCAAATTTACAGAATTATTCTGACATGAAAACCCTAATAATTGTTAGATGAATTTGCAAGGATTTCTGTGGAGAAGAATGCAAATTCTAAGTTGAATTGTTAGATAATTTTAGAAGATTTAAAAAGGAGTTGTCAAAAACAAAACATTGCGGAAAATTCCTACGTGATTCTGATGAGATTTGTATGGGTATCGTGAAGAAAATTATGGATGAATTTTAAGAAGAATTCCAAGACAATTATGATCAGAATTCAACCAGAAACAGAGTTCTTAGATTGTGCTGGCAATAATTTCAACCCTAGTGCGAAAGATTCATCACAGAACTCCAACAAAATTTATTGCAAAAAATTCTGAGAATTAGAAACAAATTGTTTAAAATACTCCAAGGAGTTTCTAAATAAAATTTCGAAAGATTTCTGCTATTTTGAATAGAGTTAAAATAAATTTTTGAAAATATTTTCAAAGGAATCAAAGTCTCCGAATAGGCTTAAGGGAATTCTAAGAAGCATTCCAATTAAATTCTTAGACGGGGTTGCAAGGAAATTCCAAAAATAATTCAACGGTAATTATTACGCGGAGTGTCTTCTGGTTTATTTCAGAACAATTTCAAAATAATTCAGAGCCGAATTCCAAGTTAATTCTGGAATTCATGTCATGAGAATTTTGAACAACGAAAAATTAAACCCCCGGAAAAGAATAATTTATTTTCGGTTTTTACAAATATTTGTTTTGAAAGTCCAGCATCTTCAATATTTTCTTTTAAGGACCATGCACTTTACAACTGAAATTGAGACGACAAAAATCAATTTTCAATATTGCTGAGTGATTAAATTCTAAAAACAATAACACGGGAAACTGAAAAAAATTATGCAGCAAATAGAGCAAGACATTCATTTGGTAAAGGATAACTCTGTTTCAATAATTTATTCTGAAATTCTGGTGTAAAAATTTGTTCTTATGGTATGGTTAATTTATTTTCCCGGTTCTCTCACCGAATTCCCGGGTTTTTCCCGGTTTTCCCGGTTACTTTTCAAATTCCCGGATATTTTCCGGTATTCCCGGTTTGCTGGCCAACCTGAGAGATGTTATGCCTCAGAACATCTCGGCGGCGCTGACTGGGATTGAACCCAGGCCTGCTGGGGTGAAAAGTAATTACGCTTACCACTACACCACCGGCCCCGCTACATTCCAAGGATCATTCTAGTGACATTGAAAACATAATTTACGTTTTCAATTTCTGTAAGGACATGATAAAAGAAAAAAAAACTAATCTATAAAGAGATCACTTGACGTTAATGGGTTGGTAAAGACAACCAGTCTAATGACCCACTACAAAAAATAGCCTACCATTCAACTCCTATTTCAAAACCTGGCTATACCCTAATACGAAGCTGAAAACGCTACTTATCCAAGCATCGAGTTAAGTTTCCTAATCTTCTGAAAATTTGGATCATTGAGATTTTCAAGCAGGGCGAAGAATTAGGACGTGGGAGTATGGTGAACTCAAATTTTCACTGTTTATTTTCTTATTAAAAATGAAATTCCATTGAGCATATGTAGGTACCTGAAAACGAAAAAATAATCTATTGTCTTGTGCACGCTAGCGCTGGAGTTATTTTTCAAATTGGGTTAATATCAAAAAAGCACAACATAAACTAAAATAAAAACAATAATCTTGAGCAGGGCGGTCTGAGCGCTGCTGCTGCGGTGTTTGTGGTGCTGGTGCTGCTTTTTCTGCTGATGTTGGTGGGATTATGTGCAAAAGAACTAAAGCGAAACTCAAAAGTCAGCATTCATTAGGTTTTTGGTGATAAAGCTATATGCAATCGGAAACGTATCAGCATACAGCTAAAATCACCAAAGATCCAATAAATGTGATAACACAGGCGGGCGGGCAGGCAGGCAGGCATAAAGAAGCTGAAACTAAAGATTTTCTCACAACACACACAAAAAAAATCGGAATTCAACCAAAACTAATAAAACCAAAGACGATATAAAAATCACTTTTGCCGATCACTTGGTCGGTTTTCGGTTTTTCCGGTTCTCCTCGGCACACACGTACACGGACTCACCGCAAGCTTCCATGCTTTGGTAATCTAGCTTTATGAAATATTAAATTCTATCATACAGCTAAAGCGCCAAAGCGTGGACGATGGGTTCAATCTCTGCTGCTTTATCTCGGTCCATTTGGTTGACTGATCTTGGGGGCAGCTCTTTCGCAACACCGGCTTAGGTACCGAGGTGCACTCAGGGTTTTAGAAATGTACATCTGAGAGTCACTCAGTACCTGAACCAGGATCGCGCGCGACCGCCTTCCAGTAATGAATGAGTGCTTATCACCACTTACGATTTGCAGACGTGGAACAATTTTTCATTCATTCCGGGTGTGTGAATGATTCGATCACATTTTTAACAATTGCCAACGTATGTCTTTGAGGTGCAATAAATAGTCCAAATTAATCACATCACTATTATAATTGAAACATTGCACATTCTGCTCATCCAAATTGCCTTTGTCTTCGCGCACACACAAAAAAAATATGAATGATAATCAACACGTCAAATAAAGCAAAATCTAAAACAAACCTCAAAATATACTGACATCACACGTATAGAAAGCCACACCACTTACCTTGGCTGCTGTGGTTGAACTGCATCTGGCACCACTTGTGGTCCTGGATTTTGTCCAGCGTCAACCGCTGGGACGGATTCGGGACCAGGATCTTCCGCAGCAGTGACAGGGTCAGCGTGTCCAGTTTACTCCAGGGCGTCGCGGTCGTGTACTTGTTCTCCTTCCAGCAGAGATACTCCTGACAGGCCGACGACGGTTGATCCCATGGCAGTTCTAAATCGATGGCACACATTACGGAACGACCGACCGAAATGGAGCCCAACGAAGAAAAAAAAACAAGAACAGAACCGATATCAGTATACCGTAGTTTGGTACAAGCATATTAATTTATCATTCTTTATCAGCAATCGTCCGAGTTCGGCACCATTGCCTATCATCACGACGATTCGGAGTGTGTCCGATATATATTTTTTTCTCTTCTGTTGTATCGTTTTCACATTAGGGTGCCAAGAGCGTGCGAATGGGTATTTAATGGAAAAACAACATCCAACGGGAAAAGTGAAGGCATGGGGAGAGTGATGTGAACTACAAAGTGCAGTGCAGAGAAACACGAAGTCTCGATTTTCGGTCGTATCGGGAATCGTTGAGATATCAAATTTTATCAGTTTACCAGGCTGGAAATAGAAAACAAAAAACAAGCGGCACTTTTGGCGACAGCAACATATACACGGAAGCAGCAGCGGAAGAACAACGATGTCTCGGTCGGTCGGTTGGTGAAATTTTTCGCCACACAAAAGGTACTTAAACTAGACATTGCATTTAGGTTGATTTTAACTTCACAGCGATCCTTGAAGTTTTTTTTAAAGAGTGTGAGAGAGAGAAATGTGAAGGCGAAGGTGAGCGATATTTGGGAGAAGACATTTTCGAGAGGTTAAATATGCGAGAGCGTGATCCTTTTCATTCATACGTTGAAGGGTGGGATAGGTGGAATATATTTGTATTTGTTTACGCAGACAGAACATAAGGACGAGGTGTGAGATATTTGTTGCGTTTGAGATGGCCTGATGGGTTCGCAAAGCGCCGTCGGAGTGGGTTGAGTAATTTCCTTGTAACCCAAGTAACAATTCATGTACAGTAAGAACAGAAGCTGATTATTTGTTGATTTAAGGTGTACAAAGCTGATTAATATTATGCTGAATATATAGTTGAATAGTAGTGCATGAAGCGAATTGTATGCCCATAATCCAACCTCGATAAGTTAGCTGATCTAAAGATTGAACAAGCCTTCTTTAAGCTTATCACAAGTCCACAAATCAGCAATGCGTTACACACATTTTGATAGCTCCTAAATTCACTGCCTACATTTATAATTACAAGCAGTGGCAGGAGTAGAGACTAGGAAGAGCAGATTTTTTGGAATAGCCCCAGGTAGATGTGGGCTGCGACGACTTCGGAAGAGTTAGTATTTGTATTCCTGTGTTTTGTTTGTTATATTGCACTGAAGTTTCAGACCGAATTATTACTCAATTATGGTACTAAAATAGCATCGAAATGACCATCGAAATAAAGCACGCACTTGTGTCCACTTTGTATTAACTGCCCTTGAAAATGAGAGGAATGTTTTACTGTCACCAGTTGTTGTTTACAATTCTGCATTGCTGTATAATACTCTTCCGGTTAATTCAACTTAAATATGACGTGCTTCAAGTCAATGATCATACCATTTGCCACACATATGCTGAAGTCAGGGTGGCCAGTGAATTTTCTTTTGAAATTCCCGGTTTAAATCTTAACATTTCCCGGTTATTAATATTCAACAAAAAACGAAATTGAACGCATTTTTAAAAACGTGCTGAAAGGATAACAAATGTGATTTAAGAAGATTCTCAAGATTCTGGAGTTTTGAAATTTGTGTAGAGTTTGAAACTAGATTTTTTCTTCAAAATTTGTGATTAATAACAATCTTCGTGATGCAAGATTTGGAGAAAAAATAATTAAAATGTGAGATTTTGAAACAATTTCAAGATCACAGATTTGAAAAAAAAAAAAACATATACTTATGAGTCGTGGAGTCATAATTGTCACGCTCACGACTTGGATGCATTTTAAGGGTTATAACAAATTACAGAACAATTTATAGAATCTTGCGGACAAAGCCTGGAATTTTTAGTAAAATTTAAAAGAATTCAAAGTGTTGATTTCGAACAAATATTGAGCAGGATTCTCACACAGCTTTCGAAGGAGAAGTTCTGAGCAGAAGTGATTTTAGAAGATTTCACAAGGAGTTGTGAAAAACAAAACTTTAAAGAAACTTCCCACGTGATTCTGAGGAGATTTGTATGGGGATCGTGAGGAAAATGACAGATGCATTTTAAGAAGAATTCCAAGAGAATTATGATCAGAATTAAATAAGAAATAGAGTTCTAAGAGTGTTCTGGTAATAATTTCAACCCTAGTGCGAAAGATTCATCACAGAACTCCAACAAAATTGATTGCAAAAAAAAAAATTGCTGATAATTAGAAAGAAATTCTTTAAAATACTCCATATATAAAATGAAAGATTTCTGCTGTTTTGAATAGAGTTAAAAGAAATTTTTGAAAAGATGTTCAAAGGAATCAAAGTCTCCGAATAGATTCAAGGGAATTCTAAGAAGGATTTCAAATAAATTCTTAGAAGGGGTTTCAAGTAAAATCCAAAAAGAACTCAACGGTAATTATTCCGCGGAGTGTTTTTTTTTTATTAATTTCAGAAGAATTCCATGATAATTCAAAGCAAAATTTCAAGTTTATTCTGGAATTCATATCATGAGAATTTAGAACAACAAAAAATTAAAAACCCGGAAAAGAATAATTCAGTTTCGGTTTTTACAAATATTTGTTTCCAAAGTCCAGTATCTTCAATATTTTCTTTTAAGGACCATGCACTTTACATCTGAAATTGAAACGATAAAATTCAATTTGCAATATTGCTGAGTGATTAAATTCTCAAAACAATAAGACGGGAAACTGAAGAAAATTATGCAGCAAATAGAGCAAGACATTAATTTGGTAAAGGATCACTCTGTTTTAAGGTTCAATTTACTTTGATGCATTTTCGAAAAATTCATAAGTTTTTTTCGACGAATTATTTCAGATTGCTAAAAGCTCGCGTCATTTTGTGTAGAATAGCAAAAGGAATCGAATAGTTCAAGCATTTTGCAATCTGAACTAATGCGTGGAAAAAAACTGCTCTTCAATTTTTCGAAAAAGCAACAAAATAAATTGAACCTTAATGGTTTATTATGAAATTCTGATGAAAAACATTGTTCCTATGATATGGTTAATTTATTTTTTCCGGTTCTCTCGTCGAATTTCACGGGTTTTCCCCCGTTTTCACGGTTACTTTTCAAATTCCCGGATATTTCCCGGTTTGCTGGCCACCCTGTTAAGTGGTTGACGCCTGTGAATCAGCGACTGCCTGGTTCGAATCCCGAAATGCAAAGGTAATTTTTAGACTTATATTAACAATATAAATATGTAAATCCAATTAGTCAGCAACAATATAAAAACAGTTCCACATAAATGCATAAGATATGAAGCGGTCTTCCATTATTTTTGAAAAAAATTAGAAGCCTGAATAAAGGGTTGGACTGTTATTTAATACCTTAAAAAGCTTATAATGTTTATTACTGTTAAGATTTTGGATGATTAAAATCACCAGATTTAGATGTACAGCAATTATTCAATCAAAGGCTGAATTAAAATCGATTAAACAACACTTGTTAAGCATCAAATTGTTACCTGGGAATTGCTTATATTTTGACAGATTCAACCACTATTTGCAGACATGGGATTCAAAGCTATTTTTTTAAATTTGGAACTGAACTAAATAAATAGAACATGGCATCGACTAATGCCAATTTACCTCCTTTCTTATGGGGCAATTCTCTAGCAATTCCTAATCGTTTTCGGAAGGACTCTTCATAAAATAGTCTCTATAAGTCTGGAGTCCTTTTTGATTCTATCAGACACTACTCTGCTTATTCTTCCTAGAGGCATTTGGACCCGCTACCTCATTTCAAGAGCCACATGTGAAAAGGGCATACAAGTTTTTTTTTTGTAAACAAACCTTTGTAGGCCCTTTTCTCGCCAACCGAGGGTCGCCCACGCAAACCAACAATATCATCAAGAACGGATACCGGGTGATGTTGATGGTTTGCGTGGGTGTCATATAGGTAGCGAAAAAAGGGCATTAGAAGGTTTGTTTACAAAAAAGCGTATATGCCCTTTTCGCATGTTGTTCTTGATTTCTGTTTCATTTGATCATCAAAAAACTATTTGTCGTATGTGCCGACAGATCAAAACATAGCTTAACGTTACATACGACACCTAACTTCTATGGAGGTGTCAAACGCTGTATGTAACAAATTATACAGAAACGTAAACGCTGTACATACGACCTGTCGTTTTTTCCTAAGAAAAGTGCAAATTTTGCAAATCTTCAATTTAAAACGGTTGTGAGTGGTCCATAATACAGTAACTACGCTTTCCGTGAGATATTATTAATTGTAACACTTTTTAAAAGGCGCACGGTCGAATGTAACACCACGGCATGTAAACGGTCGTATAATATTTATTGGTTAAAAAACGTTTATGTTAGAAGCACTCCACTCCTGAGATGCTAGTAAATGGGAATTTTGAAGGGATTATCTATTTCATTGAAAATAGAAACAATTTTTAGTACACCAAAACAAAACACTTCGTTTCCCTAATTCTCTAATTCTCGATTACTTTTTCGAAGGGACGTATCAACTTTTGTAAACAATGCATTTGATCGTCGGTTTGGCGTAGCTGGTAACTCGTTCACGCATACTAAAACCACTATCATGTAGGGGGAAAATTCCTCTATCTGATGGTAGTGGACTAGCTACCAGTTACGCCAAATCGACGATCAAATGCAGTGTTTACAAAAGCTGATACGCTCATTCGTCAACAGTCAGAAGCTATCGATGCGTAGAAATATTTCTGATCGATTGGTGATAAAATTATTGAAATTGGTCTAGGGGCAGCTGAGTTATTAACGTTTAAAATCTTTCATAATTTCGTTACATGTTCCATTTTTGGTTTTCACAAAGTGTACTCCCATATAGAAATCACAGACGTAGTTCTACGTAAAAAAAATGCCAAAGAAAGTATGAAAGTAACATGAAACTTCCGGGGAAGCCACCAGAAGGACGTCTGAGGGAAGAATATTCTGGTGGAAGTCTGGAAAAACTTCCGGAGCATGTCGGAAG